AAAAGGTTATCATTTTGGAGAAAATCTCATCAATATTTCCACTAAATAAGAGGCAAAAAAATAGTTTGGGCATTTTGCTGGAGAAAGGTACCAGGACCCTTTCTGACCCCACTAGGTAGAAGGGTGTATAGAAAATGGATGGATGGATAGTTTGGGCATCTCGCTTTGAGCTCAGAGTCTGAGAGGCTCTGAGCTCAAAGCAAACTATTTTTTTGCCTCTTATTTAGTGGAAATATTGATGAGACTTTCTTTAAAATGATAACCTTTTTCAACCTTTATAGCTCCACTGTTGAAAATGAGGCTTAAACGTTCACAAATGACATTGAAATAAAATCCAGTCCAACGTCTGGTTTGAGGTGATTCTTGAGGAACCTGTTGGAGGAAAAACATCCCAACTTCAGAAGATGTGCTTTTAACTTAATAGATCTCTGTGGTTCCTCCTGTCAGTATGAGAGTCAGAGTGAGGAGGCGCCATGTCATGTTAGGAAGAGGAAGCTGCAGGATCTTCAGAACAAACAGGTCATGATGCTAGGCTACTGATTATCCCTCTATCTGGACACAGGATCAATAGAACCAGTTTAAAAGCTAAAATGAATGGTTATATGCCAGACATGGAAAACTGGGATGACTCCATGCCATGATGTTCAGGATTTAGGTCTCATGGGATGGGTATTATGGGTAACCCTCAGAGCCCCGAGGATCACCGACGAGTTAACGTGTCTCTGCTATGTGATAAAGAAATATTATTTATGCATTTTATAAAATATGTTTATGGTTTTCGCTTTTACAAATTATTGAAATATGTTCAATCCAGGTCACGCTAGTTCTGTTATTATGTTGTTTTTGTCATGTTTTAGAAGTTTAGTTTGCGGGAAACTGCAGTGGGAATTTCCCACGCGGTAACATTATGGCTCCTCCTTGCAGGAGCTGGTTTATCCCAGAGACTGACCTCACCTCCATGGCCGTTGTGTGAAATGCAGATGGAGAATTAAAGAAACAGCTGATGCCAACTTGAGCAGGTCCTTGTCGTTCAAGGCCACACTTGGTGTTTTTCCGTTTGCTGTTTTTCTGCTGCATCGTTATGTTAATGAGGAGAGCTGCCTTCTATGTCTGCTATTGGCCAATAGAGCCTGGGAACCAACGTCACTGCGTCAGACGTTGTGGGGCGTTTAGGTCCAGTCGCTCGGTGCCATCTTTACAGGCCACAGACCAAAACAAACTTTATCCCGGTGGTTTTATTGTGTTACCGACTGCAGTGAAGTTAGTTTCGAGTTAAATATTGGATTTTCCAATATCCGCCGAGTAAGCGACGTTTAGCTCAAGGTTGATCCGATTTATGAGCGCTAATTTCGGCCAGCCGTTCTCCAGCTTTACTTCACTGCAATCGGTAACAATAAAACCACCGGGATAAAGTTTGTTTTGGTCTGTGGCCTGTAAAGATGGCGCCGAGCAACTGGACCTAAACGCCCCACGTCTGACGCAGTGATGTTGGTTCCAAAGCTCTACTGGCCAATAGCAGCTCTCCTCATTAACATAACGATGCAGCAGAAAAACAGCAAACGGAAAATGGAGAAGCAAAAAAAGACAAAGCAAAAATATCTATTTTTCTTGACAAAAACGCATGTTTAGGGGAAATAAAAAAGAAAATATATACATTACTTGACGGAAACTCGTGTAAGGAAAAGGAAAAACTAAACATATATTTATGCTTTTATTTCTTATTATGTCGGTTTTGGTCCTCCATAGCAGACCCCTGTGAGAGGGGAATCCTTGCAGACTGCAGTTCGCCTCTGATCCGCCAGGCGGAGCTACAGATGTTTACAGCTGCGCTACGTGCTCACAGGATGAAGCAGGAAGCAATAACAGCTGAGCTGGAACAGCGATAAGACCTAAGCTAAACACCTGAGCAGATAAACACGTGAGCAGCCGTTATCTCTCCGCTCTGCTCTGATAAACAGTTTTAATGGTCAGTCTGACAATAGCCTGATATTCAACTCTACAGATTCTAATTTAACTGCATTTGATTTAATAACGCTTCCTGAAATAATTCACATAGTTTTAAGATGACCAACTTTACAATGTTTAGTATTAAATAATAATTTTATTTGGAGTCAAGGTCACAGAAAATCAAAGGAAATAAGACAGAGTTAGAGGTCTTGTAATGAATTTTTGTTTAATTTAACTATAATATTTTTTTCAGATAATTTTTTTTTACTGATTCTAACTGAATTAATATCTTGAACTCAGCAACATATGAATAAATTAATTTAACTTTTTTTTTTACCATGACATATTTAATGTTGTTGTGTAATATGTTAGATTTGTTTACGGCAATAATTTGCGTATTTTTTTATTTCATTTTTTTCTGCTTTGATTCATAATTCTGTTAATTAGAAGGAAATAAGTTATTCTGAAAATGAACTTAAGAAATCTGTTTTTGTACTTATCCGTAGTGAAGTGCATTAGCAGAGTTAAAAGTATTTTATTTCATAAATAAAGGGTCCAACATTTGAGCTGTATTATATATATTATGGTATTTCATCTCATTATTGGGTTTGTATTATTTTACATTTCTATTTAAAACTTAGTCAAATTTATTATACGATTTTTAGTATTAGAATAAAGCTTCGTAGATTATTCTATTTTTAAAAAAAATCGATTTAATTTTGTTATTTTTATTTAACACAGTTGTCTTGCCACGCTCTCGCACATGCACGTCAAGCCGTAGAAAATCACGTGACCTCTTATTAAAGAAGAGGACGTTGACGTGGCTAAAAGCAGTCCCGCCCCTTACCGTGAAAATCACTTTCTAATTGGGTAAAATATGTTCTCTGCCTCTTTAGCTCCTCCCCTGTTCATCGGCGAAGACTAAACGTCACAAAGTGACGTCATGACGCAGTGAACGGAAGCGGCTCCGCTCTGAAGTTTAAGAAAAACCTCGGTCTCTGTTTTTGGTGGTTTCGTTTTTTGATTCTTGTTTGCGGTTCGGAACCCGGGTGCAGACCAAGCAGGAGTTCGAGGATCAGTTCCAGGTGAGTTCGCCGTTGGTTCTGGTTCGGTTCGTGTGCCAGTGACCTCTGCTGCTTCATTCTGATCTGACCCGAGGCAGCTGAACCAGACTCCGCAGATAAAACTCTACCTTTCTCACAGTTCTGGTTCCGGTACTGATTGTGGATAAGACAGATGGGAAGTTTTTACATAATCAGAACCGGACAGATCCAAAGGTCGGTTCGGCTGGATAAAATCCATTTGCTAGCTCTTTAATTAGTTTCCATCTCGGGCCTTGAGAGGACCCGACTGACCCGCATCAGTCTCTCGCGGTTCGGTCCAATTTACTCTGTGATGGACTTCAAACCCCGACCAGAAACAGAGCATACTGGTTATTATCCAGAACCTCTGCAGGAGAACCAGAACCAGAGTCTGGATGTGAACTCGGAGAGGAGAAGGAGGAGGATGATGATGGGTCAGTTATCAGGAGGATGAAGAACAAACAGTGACCCAGTTTCACTGGTAGAACCCTAGTTATAGTCTGTACTATAGTACAGAACAATCCTAGTACTGTAGTACTATATGGTACAGTACTATACTTACTGTAGTATAGTAGTATATACTTACTGTGCTGTACTACAGTAGTATATGATGACTGTGCAATATTACAGTAGATCTGTGGAGCATTATAGGAATAGGGTTACAGTATTAGTACTACAGTACTGTAGTACTCTGGTACTTTGCTGTATTTCTCTTCAGCTGTTTCCAGGAATCCAGAACTTTGATTCCTGGAAACAAAGTTCTGGACCCTGTGACGGGTCAGAACCTCCTGGTTCTGCTGCGGTACATCTGAACCGGGCCAAGCTGCTCTGATGTTGGACCGGGCCTCTGGCTATTTGTTGTTCTGGGCCATCGGCGCCGGAACGCAGGAAGTCCAGACTCCACCTGGTTCCTCTGAAACAATGGGAGGTTCTGGAGCCCTGCTGGTTCTGATCTGTCTGCTGGAAACCGGGTCTGATGATCAAAGCACACTCTGTTGATCTGATCTGCAGCAGCAGATCTTTGATCCGTTCAGTGATTTATAAACTAGCAGCAGTTTGAAGTGGGTGGTGTAGAACCGGGTGGCGTAGAACCGGGTGGTATAGAACCAGGTGGTGTAGAACTAGGTGGTATAGAACTAGGTGGTGTAGAACTAGGTGGTATAGAACTAGGTGGTGTAGAACTAGGTGGTGTAGAACCGGGTGGTGTAGAACCGGGTGGTGTAGAACCGGGTGGTGTAGAACTAGGTGGTATAGAACTAGGTGGTATAGAACTAGGTGGTGTAGAACCGGGTGGTGTAGAACCGGGTGGTGTAGAACCGGGTGGTGTAGAACTAGGTGGTGTAGAACTAGGTGGTGTAGAACCGGGTAGTGTAGAACCGGGTGGTGTAGAACCGGGTGGTGTAGAACTGGGTGGTGTAGAACTAGATGATGTAGAACTAGATGATGTAGAACCGGGTGGTGTCTCTACCCTCCTGGTTCTAGTCAGATCTCCAGCTGCAGCTTCTGGTCGTCAGTCTGACCTGTGAAGACGCTGCTGCTGCCTGGATGAGTTTCTCTGGTCGGAGACTTTAATCCTCTGGTCCTGAAATCTTCTGCAGCTGCTAGAAGGCCCACTGAGGAACCGGCTTTATGTGACTCTGGAGGGTCAGGTCAGAGGTCAGCCTGATCTCTAGTTTACAACTTGAAGAACTGAAGCTGACTCTAGATCTATAACTCTAGATGTTCCTCTTTAGTAACTTCAGTTTCTGTTCAGAAAGTTTTGTCACATCCACTCATTTATGTGTGCTCAGCATCTGTTAAGTGATTGGATGGGGTCAAAGGTCATCTGGTGGCATTGTAATGTAGAGCTGTGTATCATCTGTGTCGTCATGGTAACTGTGATAACCTGAGTCCAGGGACTGAACCTTGGGCCTAGCAACAACTCTGTCTTGTTGCCTAGCAACAAGCTTTTTCTCCACTCTTACATATTTATCAATATGAAACAACATGAGGGTGAAACGTGATGGCCAGCCTGTCGGCCATGTTGGAAGCAGACAGAGGTTATTGATATGAAGTTTCTGGTTTATTATTAGGCGTTTATGGCTGCAGATAGCGCTGCTATAAGGAAGTTCAACACAGTTCAGCACATGAACTTTGACCCCAGAGCAGTGATGATGTGACAGTTCTGATGGGCCCACCAGAACCAGCCTCCACCTCTGATGGTTGTCATGGTAATAGACCGTGCTGGACGATAAATCGTCCCTGAAGTTATCGTGATAATATTGTTGTTAAGGAAACATTTTGAACTGATACAGTACTAGTGTCTTACAGATCAATAAACTTTAAATTGTAGCTAACATTTAACTCTGGGACTGGAAGACATTTTAAATGTCCAAAATTAATAAACAAAGCAACAAAAAATGAATTATGAAACAAAACGATCCTTCAGATTAAGAGCTAGTTGAGACCAAAACAGCAGACTGAAGACGTTCTAATTTGTCATGTGATTAATTGGTTTATTGATTATTGTGCCCATCCACAGGATCACTGTGACCCGGTCCAACCCGGTTTGACCCCTACCTGTAATTCTTCACTCTGTTCATGTATATGAACCAAATCTGAAATGTTTTTCTGGCTGCAGCTGTCACGCTGCTCTGCTCAATACTGGGTCAGAGTGGAGCATCACACAAACACAGGATCTTTGTTTTTATTCAAAAACTGGTTGTGGTTCTGGTTCTGCTGTGTTCATTAATGATTGATGGTGATCCACTATGGCCTGTAGAACCTGTAGAACCATAAACAGGTCCAGGTTCCGCCCACTGAAGCTGATTGGCTGCCAAAGGATCATGATGGCCTCTGATTGGATCAAGCTGTTTGTATGTGCTGACTTAAAGCTCGCCCCTCTCTCTCCCCTCCAGTGTCTTCAGTGCCTCGGTCGCCCGGCTCTCTCTGCTCCAGGTAAGGCTCAGCAGGAACTTCATCATCCATAATGCTTTATGGTTCTGCTGGATTGGATTCTGACTAAAACTGGGTCAGTTCTGGTTCTGGTCCTGTCCCAGGAAGCTCGGTTCTGTGATTCATTTGGGCTCCAGTTCTCCAGCGGTCATTCTGGAAATTATTTCAGAATGATTATTCTGGAACTTGTATTTTCAAGTTCTAGTTGGTTCTGGACGGTTCTGGCTTTTGCCCCACATTCCTGCCTGGAATGTCGTTAGTTTTCCGGGTCAACCTTCAGGTCCAGTTTGACCGTTGGTTTGTCAAATTAACCAACAGAACCAGACTTTTTCCTGGGTTCTGGTCCGTTTCTCTGTTCCTGCTGGTTCTGTTCAGAATCTCACTGGTTCTGACCCGTCTGGTCAGCTGGTTGTTGTCAAACCCAGAAGGATTCTCCAGAACCGGGCTCAGACCGTTGGGCTTTTTCTGCTAAAGGCCAAGAGGTCTGTCTGTAGAGAAGATCTTTGAAGCAGATTGGGAATAAAGCAGACCTGGTTCTGGTTCTGGTTCTGGCCCAGGCAGCAGAACCTGTGGCTCTGTGGAGGTAAAACTCGGACAGGAAGCAGGCAGTGAGCGTTGCCGCTGGCAACCAGTGACCTTCCTGCTAGCGCTAACATCGTTAGCACTAATCGATGAGCTCTGATTGGTCGGTTCTGTCTGCTGTGGCCTCGGGGCCCGACAACCAATCAGATTACAGAAGGACGTCTGGCCCTGACATCATGCCGTTTCCATGGTTACGCCTGCGGGCTGTGATGTCATCAGGGGTCGGTGTGAGCCGGTCTGGACGAGCGAGCGTCTGTGCAGCAGGAGAGAGAGAGCTGCTCAGGTGAGTTCACCTCCAGTCAGGTGCTACTGGACCTGTTGCCATGACGACCAGCCGCCGCAACAAACCAGCCCGGTCTGGTCCGGGATAGGGGTGTGGCGATACAATAATCTCACGATCTGATATACGATATTCTGGTCACGATACGATTTGTATCAATATTTGGCCAACAATATAATTCGATATGATTTGATCCATTTTTACGATTTTCTGAAAGATTTTAGAAGGACAGAGTGATTTTAGTGACATTTTGTGTTCCATACACTTGAATTTAATTAACTGAAAGCTGATAAAAAGCACCAACTACACAATACCTGCCTCTGATTGGACAGTCTAACAGTCTGCAGCTGGACAAAATGAGTCAAAAACGCAGTGAGAGAATTAGTTTCTGTCATTTAATTCATGTGGATTTGACATAAAACTCAAAAATTTAAACTAATCCAGAAACAGAGTGGGGAGATTATCAGCCTCTGTAGACTCTCAATATGCAAATGATTGCACTTATGTTTTTTTTTTTTTTGTTTTTTTTGGACACTGTGGCTGCATTTTGGAGTAAAAATGCAGCCACAAATGCAGTCTTTTGGACTATGGGGAAAAAGGCTTTTCTACCGTGGCTCCCGGAGTTAGCCGTGGCTGTAAGCTGTTTACTACTAACTGCTGGGGTAGTGGCTCCGCCTCACCCCGCGATCGACTCCCTGCAGCTGTGCAGCGCTGCCATTCCCCTGCTTGGCTCTCTGAGTATCTGCCTCTCAGACAGCCAGGATCTCATCGTTCTCTCAGTCTCTGATACTCTTTGTCTGTTGCTAATAAGAATGATCGATCAGCCATTGTTATCATGGAAATCCTCACTGCGCCGTGGATTCCGGCTGGGGGTTTTTCCTCTTCGTCTTCCTGCTCAAAACACAGCGCCGCTGCGCGCCCGCTTCGGATGTTATCAACCCATGTTCATTCTTCAGGTAATCCTTTATATACAGAGCAGAAACCGCTAAGCTAAAAACTAATTACGAAGTGAATGCTACCAGTCAAAATTTGCATTAATTTCGTGATTTCACTGCTTTTGCAGCTGCTCCGTTCGCGCTGCTACTCCTTTCCGCTTCTCCGTTCCGCTTCTCTTTCACGGTTACTTGTGCAACTTTGCTTCATTTCTCAGCAAAAAAATAAAGCCCATCGTTATTTATTGAAGATTTTACATTTCCAAAAACACAGGAATCTAATGTTTCGTTTCGTTTTGTACGTTTGGAAGCTCATTCACTCTCACATAATCGGAAAAGCCGGGGAATGGCGGCGCTTTTGACATTTCTCTGACATTCGGAAAAATATGGTTTACTAATTTTAGCATAACTCCGGTTATACTTGGCCTATTAATTTAAAAA